CAAGAAGTGAAAGCAAAGTGCAAATATAGCACGACTATAACACTTTCTACAGGCTAATCAGCTCCTACAAATAAAATATCCTATTTTTATGCAATATTTGTCTGAATTCACAACTTTGTGTAGCTTTGTGCTTAAGAACCAACGAACAAGTTGCTTTAAGGTGTCTTATAGTATTAACAATTATCGAAGAGCATCAATATCTATATATATATATATCTACAGAGCATTGGAAATATTTAAGAAAATAGTACAAAAAATTGAATTGGTATAAAATTCAAATATTGTAAGAATACTTCTCTTCTATCGTTTAAAAAGTGTCTGCATTAGATTAAAGTAATCTATTGATAATTTACAATATTATCGACTGTCATCTAACTAGTTAAACAGAATTACACCAGTATTTCTGTTGTAATTGCACTGTCGTCTCCTGGGACATTAATGTCATATGCCAAACAAGTACGAGTGTTTATTATTATATTAAAACGATTTTGGACCCCCACAACATCATTACAGTCCATCTCACCATATTTGGTTATTTTATATCTGATAACAATACATCTTGACAATAACCCTATAGTTTTCATTGCACAAGGCCCCGTTATATAGCTGGCATGTACAAAGTACATCACTCTCTTTCCGTAATCCATCAAATGCACAAAGATTACAGTTCTCCAATGACAATTTCAACAGTATGATCAGATAAAAGTACATAGGCACTGCATTCTTAGACTTGATTGATACGTATTTGTGTGCGATGACATGAATAGATACTGCATTCTCTAGCTGTTTCGAGTATGTGACAGTTTATTGCAAGGCATGATTCGTGATGAACCTATAACATGTTGGCTTTGTTTCCAGATTAAGGTCCTTACTGATTATGTTGTAAACTGTTGCCTGGGACACGTGGATGGCTTTTGCTACTTATCTGTGTGTTCATGGATTCTAATTTTTTACAAAACTATTTGCTTACCATGGCTGGGGTATGACTTGCTACATGTGTCTTTCAAGATGGCTCTGGTTGCCCAGTTCATCCATATTCCTTTGTTTTCTAATGCCATTAAATACAGGGGATACTCCTGTCTAGGAAATAGGAAATTCTAAATCTCTGTTCTAAATATATCTTTATAATTCACATGTATGAATATTTTATGTTGGGAAGGGTTGTTGTATATCCTTTCCTGTAGTGGCCATTTTTGGTGACATCACACAACTTATATAACACAACTGTCAAAATGTAGTTCTGATAGACGCCATTTTACAGTGATTTTCTTATCGCGTGATGTTTTTAAGTGACATATTAATTTGCATATTCAAAACCATTTTAATATAACGTATTCAACCCTGTAGAAGTGTATGTTTTGTCTGTTGAAGAATACTACATGCAACAGATTCAGAATAAATTTCATGTTTGAGTAGGAGTTATATAGAAACATTTAACAGGATATGTGAAACTAGTATTATTTATAATATAAGTGGTCGAGAAAGAAACCTCAAACTCTTTAAAAGAGATGTTAAGTAATTCAAGTATGCTCATTACGTGATACTTGAAATTGTACCAATGACCTAGTTGTAAGTGTAGGCGTGATTTTTACCTCCAGAACAGTAAGATAAAAATAAACATGAAGTAGACTTGTTGAATGTGTAGCTGTTCAAAAACTACCGCATTGAATAGATAACCAAACCATAAGACCGAAATGGGCAAAGATGGAAAAATAGTTTCCTTTACACGTGAATCTAAATTACAATTGATTGGGGGCGATCAATAAGTTTCCTAAGTGGCAGAGAAAATAACATTATCATGATCAAGTTACAACATAAACAGAGGACCAATAGAAGTGTGGCCTGCATCTCAGCCAATGGTGACATCATGAAGTAGATTCGTTA